GGCCCTGTACCCCCTGCCTAGTACCCCCCCCAGGCCCCATCCATTATATAGGCCCCGCCCCCTGCACAGGCCCGCCCCCCTCGGGTATTGAGCACCTGGCCTCACAGGGCCCAGCGAAGAGGTGAGGCGTCAGGAGACCCTGGTGTCGGCGGGCTCTGGGACCCCGGAGGCCTTGGGACATTCCTGGCCCTGCCTCCACACCATCACCCTGCGGGCCTCGGTAGGCCTTGAGGAGGCGCCAGGCCAGTCTGCCCTGCTGTGGGAGAGACAAGGGCTTCTTAGATGAGGCGAGCAAAGCGCAGATGACAGGGTTACCTGCCCCCTCTGCTGCGAGAGGCCCCGTTAGCACTTGCGGTCACCTTCCGCCTGGCCTGTCTGTGTCTGTTACACACGGTCCGTGGGGTGGGACCACCCTCCCTCCTGACCCCGGCCACCCGCAGACCTGACCCGGCTGATCCACATCCTGGACACGGAGCACCCGTGGGACGTGCACTCCTTCCCCTCGGAGCACAGCGAGGCCATCACCTGCCTGGAGTGGGACCAGTCGGGTAAGGGGCCGGGCGGTGGCCACGCCGGGTGGCCTGGGCCGCACCTGCTCCCTGCGGGGCCTCCTGGGGCTTGGCGCCCTGCCCCTGCTGGCTCTGGGCTGGCAGGGGTGTGACGCCCGGCCTCATGCCTGCAGGCTCCCGGCTGCTGTCGGCTGACGGCAATGGTCAGATCAAGTGCTGGAGCATGGCGGACCACCTGGCCAACCGCTGGGAGAGCCTGGTGGGCAGCTCGGTGGAGGGCGACCCCATCGTGGCCCTGTCCTGGCTGCACAACGGCGTGAAGCTGGCGCTGCACGTGGAGAAGGTGGGTCCCTGTGGAGGGGCAGCACCACCCTCCCGGCCCCTGCCCGCCTGGCTGCTCTCGCTGGGCCGGAGGGAGATGGGGCCCACTCGCTGGACCGCAGTGCTCAGGGCCCCAACTTCCCGGGTGTGGGGAGACCTGCAGACACGGAACGTGGCGCCGTGGGCAGGGGCCAGGTCTAACCATGAACCCCTGCTCCCTGCAAGCGGGGGCCTGCGGCAGTGTCCCACGTCTGTGCGGTGGTGTTTTGGCTGGGATAATGGCAGGCAGTCATGGTTCTCCACCTGTGGCCTCGCGCCGGCACTCAGACTTCCAGGCGTGGGGACGTCTGCTGTCTTGGTTTGGCCTCAAAGGGCCCTAGCTGCAGCGAGGCTGCTGGGAGTTGGCACTCGCCGTCCTGGGCCCTGCCTAGGGTCTGAGACGGCCCCTGCCCAGTCCTGGGAGG